CTGCACAACAAGTAATTGGGCCAAAGCCCAAATGGATGGGACTTTGAATTAATGCTGGCGAATTTCTTGAATTGGGACGGAAATCCCTTGGAGAGGAAGAGAAGATTTTGGACTGGGACATATTTGGGCCTGGGCGGAAACTTAATTGGACAGAAATCAAAAGGGGGCGGAAGGGAGGAATAGAGTGGAACGAGGCAATTAAAGGAGCAGAGGCAATTTTGGAGCGGCGGATTTTAATTTGGGCAAGCGGAACTCAGCCTGGGGGAATTATCGTGGAGAATAGAAATCAGTAGCACGGGCCCATGTGACATATATTTTTTGGCGAGGGTTTCTCTTTGGCAGAAAAGACGAGAGCGGCCAGGGGAAACAAAAATCTCTGGACGCGGAAGAATCTTCAATTGGGCGAAAGCAAGGAAGCACAGCGCCGCGCGACACCAGGCGATTGACGATTGGCGATCGACTTCTCCAGGGCAGTGTGAGCTTATTTCAACAAGAACAAGTGATTTGGTTGGATTTTCTGGTCCGAATTATTTGTTTATTGTTGATTTGGAACATGATGAACAAAACCCTAATGTTTTATCTTAATTTCGTCATGAACTAAACCCCAATTTCTGGGGGAAACACCATAGGATGTAGCTATTTCTTGATTTGATGGATTGATTCATGATTCTTTTCTTCCAATCTCTATTGCATGAAATTACTTAATGCTTTGTGTTGACTGGCCACCAATACAACGATTTGTAGTTAATTAAGTTATTAGCGACAGTGAAACCCTAATAACTGAACCTATTTCATGTGACATAGTAACTTATCGAAGCGACAGTGGATTAAATAAGGTATTATGCGGTCTTAAATAGGATATCGATCTTCAGGCTAGATAATTAAATCATTGAGCTACGACAGTAGGATTTGATTTAATTGTTTAGTACGTAGTAATTCCCAACAGGGATAGCTAGCACATTCGTGATATCCTGGCTGTAGAGGTATGGATTAAATTGATTGGAATATGTGAATTAATCTGGATAGGATAGGTAGTGAATCCCGGTGTTTCTCCCAGAGCTTTCTCCCATTGAATTAAACCCGACAGTTTTCACTTGCTTAATTTGTTTAGTTTATTTTGCTTTTAGATAATTAGTCTCATTGAAACATTTTCACCTGTAGTTTGCTCTATAGAATCAATAAATCATTAGGTTGTACCAGTCCCTGAGAGACGATACCCGGACTTTCCGGTTTTACTACAAGATAGGAATTGAAGCTATACGCTTTTGCCCTATCAGGTGGCGGCTAGGGTTAGAACTCTTGAGGCTCTGATACCATAACACTTGTTTTAGGTTTTGGAATTTTCAGCTTGTTGTTCTCATTGCATTCCTTCAGCTTATATAGCTGAGTAGTTGGTAGTTTACAGAACAAGAAAAGAAGACAAACTTGAGAAAGAAGAAAGTACAATCTGATTTGGGAAATTGGACAAAATAAGAAGTTGGGCATTAGTTTGGTAATTTGCCAGAGACAACTTGACTCCAGCTTCTATACGCCGTCGTCTTGGTTGCAGTCGAGACTTCTCTTTGATACGGCGTCGTCTTTGCTTCATTGCGTGTTTCTTTGGGACACGGCGTCGTCTTCACTCCAACGGTCGACTGGTTTGAAGGCTTCTGCTCTGCTTCTGCATTTGGAATTGGCGAAGAAAAACCAGTGTTTTTCTCTGATAGGAAAGAAAAGGAAAGAATAAGGAAGACTCTCCGCTCCAAAAAAACCCTCCACAACTCCTCCGCCACCCACCACAGTTGCGAATCCACATCCATGCCACCAACCACTGCTTCGAATCCAGATCCTCTGCCGCTCAAGCCCCATGTCTTACTTAGATCATTCATGCAATCCTTGGCTCCACTGAGCACCAAATCCCCTTTTACAGATCGAGCCAAATCCGATATCATCCTCTAGTACTCCCCCTGTTCCAGAGTCCCGACCCTCATCTTCAAATCATCTTAGCCGCTCCTCCCAGGTTTGTCCAATATCGTCTTTGCGTGCGCCTTCGGCATCCTCTCTCCATTGTTTATTTGAAATAACCCCAATTGTTCTCTGTGATTTTAGGTTTTAGTCTTGGTTTGTGGGTTTATTGGATGCAGGTTCTGCTAACTGAACCACCGATCTGCCCCCACCCTGGCCTCCCATCGTAGATGCAGGTGTATGGCGTTATCATAAAACGTCAATTGCAGTTGTGGTAGGCTTCGCCCCCATCTCTAATTCAATTGCAGAGCTATGCTGCATTCAGATTCCCTAATTGCTCAATCAAATTATTTACAGCAAAATCACCAATTAGACAATGATAGATGCATTTGAGTTCCTTTGCTGCCTTATATATTGTTGTCATTGTTGGTGTCAAGCTTAATAATACGAGTGAGGAATCAGGAGCTAGAAAATCATAGATGGAAACTTAGGCTTTTTCGTGGTAGAAAAGAGTTATTGCTAATTGCAGTCTTGTGTTTGAGTAATTGATCCTCATTACTTTACATTCCAAAATCTTGTTGAGTTTGTGAGTCTCTTTACAGGTTGTGTGCAGATCGGCTCTTAGTCACAACAAATACAAGTTTAGTGCATATGTTTTGAGAAGTGATAACCAATTTGATAATCACCCGAGAAAAGTAAATAGAAAAGGTGAACTAGAATTGAGGTTTAATGATTCCACTCCTTGATTACTGCAATATAATTTTTCTTTAAATGAAGAACATAGATGGAAGAAAGAGGCACTAAATGATTCTGCCTATTCAATTTAGTTACATCGTAGCTAGGCTCCTTAGTTTACGGGTGAAAATACATACCAACTCTTGCGTTTATTGCTTCTTGATCTGACTGACATTTATGATTGTTCTGAACTTTCCAAAGCGTTTTCATGTTAATTGTAATGTTTGATTACCTACTGCAAAACATTTACTAGGAGTAGTTTGGCAAGTGATGTTGCAAGAATGGTTTTCACTAGCTTCTATTTTTTTCTACTGCTGAAAATTTTCCTGCTTCTGCTTTGGAACTGAAGGTACTATGGTTGTTGCTGAACTTTTTCTGCTGCTACTTTTCTGGTTTCCGCTAGCTTCTATTTTTGTTGTTGTTTGGAAAGTGATGCTGGAAGACCAGGAAAATCCCAGACAACTTTGAAAGTTCATAATGAAGCAGACAAGTTAAAGCCATATATCTGTCTTCTTTTTATTCATTGATTCTCACAGAGTCCCCCTCCCACATGTAATGTGATGAAGCAAGTCATAGGACTTATAAAAACTGGTATAACGTGTTGGGAAAATACAAAGAGAGTAAAAATAACATGTTGTGTTCATTTGTTGTAGGATAAGTTACTTACCAAGAGAGGAGCAGCTGGTTTCACAATCAATGGAGTCGACAGTGAAGACTAAAGAGGACATGCATCAACTGCAGAGGAAGATGACAGAAGGGTGAAGCACGAGAAGCTAGTTTAACTTTGCACGTTTTTTAGTGAATTGGTAATTTTGTTTTCGGACCAAGATAGAAACTACTCGAGCTTATTTTGTTGAAGCATTCATATTTTGTGATATGATTAATTAGATAGTTTCCACGTGCCTAAAATGTTTCATGAATTAGATTTTCTTAGCATTGAAGGGCATGATATATATAATGCCGAGACTTGTTAATTATTTCAAAAGTGATTTCTTCTTGTTACTTTTGGAAGATTTCTGGTTATTTTAGCAAATATAAATTACAATATTTGGTCTGACAAATGGTTTAATAAAAATCTGAGAAATCCCGTGACCATTGAAATAAAATTGTTACCATGGCAATTACATCATTGTAAATATTGGACAAAATCCCGTGACAAATAACTCAATTTGTCATGGGATATACCGTGACTTTTTCATATTTTTGTCACGGTAAGTTTACCGTGTTCAATACTTAGTCAGGGGGAGGTTCCGTGACAAACAAAGATTATTTGTCATGGGAATCTCCCCGTTATTATATGATTATGATCACTGGATTTCCCGTGACTAAGTTCATCGGTCACGGGAATTAAATGTTTGGTCACGTAAAATCCCCTGATTGAAAGTGAATTTTCCTGTAGTGGGGGGAGTGTTGCGGTTACTGAACCGTGTTAGTATTGGGCCTTGTTGGTCCTCATCTTATTCATTGGGTTAGGGTTTTAACCCCAAGTCTTTCTCTATATAAACTTAGCTACGAGTAGAGGTGGCAATTGGATCGGATTCGTGGATTGGATTGGTGGATCCATGGATCAAATGGATTGGATCCAATGGATTGGTGGATTGATCCATGAATCCAAATGACATACAAGGCTTGGACCAAAATGTAAATTTTGAAAAGTTTAGGTACTAAAATGTCATAATGAAAAAATTTAGGTACCAAAATGTAATTTTCCAATGATATTTTTCGTATAAAAATATAAATTTTAGGTACCAAAATGTAAAATATAAAAAATATAGGTACCAAATCGTAATTTGCCATTTGGATCCATGGATTGATCCATGAATCCACCAATCCAATTGGATTTGGATCAAATGGATTGGATTTAAATGGATTGGATTAGGTGGATAATTTGGTGGATGGATTGGATTCATGGATTTGGATCATAATTGCCACCTCTAGCTACGAGATTGTCGTAAGCAAGCCGTCAAGATGTAATCCTAATAAGAGATCAGCTGTGAGCTCTTATGAGCTCACCGTAGATTAGTCTCGATCAATCAATCGATCGTGAATATCACGTAAAATCGTTGTCTCGTGTGTTGTTACAATTCCGCATCATCAAATTTTTCATGGGGTCTACATATCGATAGAGTCATAAAAACATTTTCTGTTTGCCGCCTTAATTATCACGCGATTAACTTGACAAAACCAATTGACTTAGAAGAAAAACAAGAGACAAAACCAATTGACTTTGAAGAAGAACAAGATAATTCTTTTGGATTAGATATATTTTGGTCAATGCATGAAAGTTGAAAAATACAACAATATAGAAGAGAGATTAATGAGGACGGATTAGGATGGGTAGTTCTAATTCTAATCTCTTCTGTGTTAATTAGTGCACAATCAGGTTAACTTTTCTTCTTGTTCTTCTCCTCCTCATCCTTTGACATGATTAGCACTTGAGAAGAGTCAACTCATTGTGGTTTGAAGATTCAGCCGAGTAGATGGCTGCATCCATTTGCCAGCTCGGCCTTCCAAGTGTGAATTCTAAATCCAGAAACACCCCTTCTCTCTTTTCCTAAATCATACATATATTAACAATTAATTAAGAAAAATAATGTCATTAGAAAGTGACGTTGTGTATATATATGGTATTAATGTTCATCGTACGTTCTATTTGTTGTGTACCTTAATCACCGTTATGTCAAGCGGGTTAAATTGAGAACGAGTCAATGCGACCCAATGGTGATCAGGGTTTGATCTATTGTAGTTGTCTCTGACAATGGCAAACATGACATAAACAAGGATTATTAATTATTCTAATCATCATTAAATATATTAGCCGAGGTGTGATGCCAAAATAACAACAAGGATATGTGTTAATTAAGATGCAAAGAAACTTCATTTAAGAATAAAGATGCAAAGAAATGACAATGTCAATATAATTTAATAACAAAAACAAACAAATCATTCCAAAAGGTCTAGAATATTAGGTTATCGTTGTGTAAGGATGATGCGTATAAATTTGAAAATAATCAAGGTGCATAATTCGCAATAACACAATGTTTAATCTTCCATATCATTGAAGTAGAGTCTGACTAGAGGGGTGAAAGTCAACAAAGTTGAAATCCAACAAATGTAGGTTGGAGATTGACTCGTTAATTACTATATCTATGGGGTTGTGTAATGTGTACAGTAACAAGAAATGGAATTTAGAAATACCATCGAGAATTGAACCAAAATAAAAGGAGGAAAAAGGGCTACTCCTTTAATTTGACCCTTCAGCTGGTTTTGTTTGGGCTAAGGGTACATTGGGATAGAGGGGAACGATAAGACAATCCGACAGATATGGAGAATGTAAGTCTGTCTTGGTTTGAAAGTAGAGGAAGAAAAGAAGGGCACAAAATGAAGTTAATGCTTAATACTACACCTAGAAAAGCCATAGGGGAGGGGTGCCAAACAAACTTTTCATCAATGTGGATGTAAGACTTTGTGTTTGTATCATTCCCATTAGGGTTTTCAGTTCGGTTTGGAGAGACCGAACAAACCAAATCGTTAAGGAGAATTATTGATTTTAGAAATACAAGTACCTTTAATAGTTTGGTGTCGATTTCGAGAAACCGAACAAACCAAACAGAGGGAGAGTGCATCAAACATTTCAACCTTACAAGGGCATGCATCACCGACCTATGAGCAAATGAGTTTCTGTTTAAGGTATTAAAAAACTGATTTAAATCGAAAACATAAAATTGATATTCGCGCCATAATCCTCACCACTACATCGAGATATTGGTAAAACCACACGAAAAATAAAACAGCTCTGATGAGCTTATAATTACTGTACCATCTGGTTCTATCTAGTATAGATTAATCATTACTACGGATAAATCTTCTGAATTATCCATAGCAATGACCAAGTAATGACACAAGATATGATGAAACCTAAATTGTTTGGCAAGAAAGGAGAATATATATGCTAATATGCATAAATATCAATGCTTCTTCTTCTTCTTTTTTTTTTTGGGGTGAAAGGCCAACAATGTTCCTTGTTTGTTCCTTTGGTGTGTGTGGATGTGGGTGTTAAATGGGTTGTGGATTATTATTAATATGTCTTTTTGTAAATTGTTGTTCTGAAACCACACTACTTGACTCTCTTTTTGTGGGCTTATGGAAAACAAACAAGTTAGTTAATGACAATGAGACATTAATGAGCAATAAGCCTCCATTAATTAATCAAACTTAATTAATAGAGGAAACTCCAAAAAGAGAATTAAAGAACTCACTTTTGGGGTGGTTGGTTATTGATGAGGAAAACATGAGGAGAAGAGTCGGTTTCATTATCTGCTCCTCCTCCTCCTTCAACTGTTGGAAATGTGTATGAATAGCTTTGAAAGCTATAGAGTCTCAAGTGGAAAAACTACCACATTGGTAGTTTTACTTGGTGAAATGAGTATAAAGATAGGAGCCTCTCTCCTAAGGGCATGCCCCTTGGGGTGACCCACTTTTGTGGGAGAGGGAGGACCTAACGGACCACCACACACATGCGCGCGCCGTCCGACCGGTCGGTCGGTCAGATGGATGGATGGATGGATGGATCACTTGAGACTATATACATATTTTTTGGAGAAATTCCGAACGAAATTAATTATTTAATAATTAATTATTAATCGGTTACTCTGAGGAATATTCCAAGGGATAATCGATTGAAAAGGAATATTCGAAGGATAATCTCCGCAGGATTTATCCTAACCGACGGTTTTAATTAAGGAAGTAATTATCTTCCTTAATTAATCCGACTTATTCCCCAAGCAAGAGGGTATATTCCTAGGGGTTCGGCTCCTATAAATAGCCGCCTCCCCAGCCCCTCTAAACACACCACAACGAGCATAAACACAATAGAGAGAGTGTTCAGAGAGCTCCGGTTTTCGCACAAAACCGCGAGTACACAGAGGAGCTGTTTTATCCTGGAGACGACCGGTTGATAGTCTGCCGTGCGCATCGAGGGAAGTGCCGCGAACGTCTTAAAGAAAGCGACCTAGTCCGCGACTCAGCTCCAGATTCGGTATCCTCATCTTGTTGTTGTTCCGTTTCTAACAATTTTAAGACGTTCGGCTGCTGCTATGTCGACTGAACAGAACAACATGGCCGGATCTGGTGCTGTCGATATCAATCGACCGTTTCGCTTCGTTGGAGTCAACTTTCGTCGCTGGAAACAAAAGATGGAGTTTTACCTGACGACCAAGAAGTTGGCACACTGCCTCACTAGCATGCCCGTCGAGCTGCCGGAAGAAGCGATCGATGAGGAGAGGACTGCTGCTGCTAAGGAAAGGGAGCATGACTTCCTATGCAAGGGCTACATCCTCAACGGCCTGGCAGACGACCTCTACGACTACTATGCGGACAGCAAGAACACCGCAATGATGGTCTGGGATGCGCTCCAAAAGAAGTACGACACGGAGGAGGCTGGAGCTAAGAAGTATGCTGTCAGCCGCTACCTGCGCTATCAGATGGTGGATGACAAGTCTGTCGAAGTTCAGTCCCACGAACTTCAGAAAATAGCTCACGAGATCGTCTCTGAAGGTATGCCTCTGGACGATCAATTTCAAGTTGCTTGCATTATTGATAAGCTGCCCCCTTCGTGGAAAGATTTTAAGAATATGCTTAGACATAAAACCAAAGAATTTTCATTGGAAAGTTTGATTACTCGCCTAAGGATTGAGGAAGAGTCCCGCAAGCAGGATATGAAAGAAGAGGTGATGGTCGTCACTGCTAAACGACCCACCCCTAGAGCTCTTAAACCTAACCAGAAAGGGTTTAAGGGTAAGAACCAGCAGGTCCGCCCCCACCAGAATGGTGCCTCTCGAGGTAACCAAAGGGTCATGGCCCAAACCTCTAAGAATGACCCACCGTTTATCTGCTTTAACTGCGGAAAACCGGGTCATATGGCAAAAAAGTGCAGGAACAAGCATAACCTCGCCGCTGCGGCCAGGGTTAACTTGACAGAAGAGGATTTGGTAGCCATGATCACAGATATGATCGCTGAAGTTAACCTCACCGGTGACTCAGAAGGATGGTGGCTGGATACAGGTGCATCGAAGCATGTATGCAACAATCGTGCTATATTTAAAACATACGAAGAAGCACCTGCTGACAAGAAAGTGTTGTTGGGGACTACTCACACCACTATGGTTGCTGGTTCTGGTAAAGTGGAGCTGAACTTCACCTCTGGGAAGAAGATGGTGCTCAAGGATGTGTTGCACACTCCAGAGATAAGAAAGAATCTTGTGTCGGGATATCTTCTTAATAAGGCTGGGTTTAATCAATCTATTGGGGCAGACTTGTATACCCTTACTAAGAATGGGAGTTTTGTGGGAAAGGGATATGCATGTAATGGGATGTTCAAGTTGAATGTCGAAATTAATAAGATGAATTCTTCAGTTTACATGGTGTGTGATTTGAATGTTTGGCATGCTCGTCTTTGTCATGTGAACACACGAATTGTGAAGAATTTAAGCAAGCTAGGACATATCCCTAAACTCTCAATGAATGAATTTGATAAATGTGATTTCTGTAGCCAAGCTAAAATAACGAAAACGCCCCATAAATCTGTGAGTAGAGAATCAGAACCCTTAGATCTGATTCATTCTGATATTTGTGAACTAGATGGGACGTTAACTAGGTCTGGCAAGAGATACTTTATCACTTTCATAGATGATTGCTCTGATTATTGCTTTGTTTATTTGATGAAAAACAAAAGTGAAGCCCTTGACATGTTCAAGGTATTTGTGGTTGAATTCGAAAATCAGTGCAATCGAAAGATAAAAAGACTTAGGAGCGATAGAGGATCAGAGTATGACTCTAATCCCTTCAAGGAATTCTATAGCTCACATGGTATCATTCATGAAACCACGGCACCATATTCACCAGAGATGAATGGTAAAGCTGAGCGGAAAAATAGGACATTTACAGAATTAGTTGTGGCTATTATGCTCAATTCTGGAGCTGCTTCTTCTTGGTGGGGTGATATTTTGTTGACGGTTTGCTATGTGCTAAATCGTCTTCCAAAAACAAATAGAAAAGAATCACCCTATGAGATATTGAAGAATAAGCCACCTAATCTGTCCTATTTAAGAACGTGGGGCTGTTTGGCCTACGTAAGAATTCCTGATCCTAAGAGGGTTAAGTTGGCTAGTCGAGCATATGAATGTGTCTTCGTTGGCTATGCGGCCAATAGTAAGGCATATAGATTCTATGATTTGAATGCTCGTACAGTAATAGAATCCATTGATGCTGATTTCTTTGAGACACGATTTCCATTTAAAACGAGAAATAGTGGGGGTAATGTACTACCCGCTATTAGAGATAACGGAACAAGTGGGGGTGTTGGATCTGAGGATGAACTCAGAAGAAGTAAAAGAGCTAGAATCTCTAAAGATTTTGGTGATGACTTTACTACAGTATACACCCTAGAGGATCCAAAAAGTTTGCAGGAAGCACTAACTTCCATAGATGCAGACTTTTGGAATGAGGCCGTTATAGATGAAATGGAATCGTTAGAGGCTAATAAGACTTGGCATCTAACAAACTTACCTCCTGGCTGCAAAGTCTTAGGTAATAAATGGGTTCTAAAAACGAAACGGAAACCTGATGGTGCAATCGAAAGGTTCCGAGCTCGCCTAGTAGTCAAGGGCTACAGGCAGAGAGAGAATATAGATTTCTTCGACACCTATTCACCAGTATCTAGAATAACATCCATTCGTGTCATGATTGCTCTTGCTGCCTTGAACAATCTCGTGGTACACCAAATGGATGTTAAGACTGCTTTTTTGAACGGTGATCTAGATGAAGAAATCTATATGGAACAACCAGAAGGGTTTGTTATCCCTGAACATGCCTCGAAAGTCTGTAAGTTGGACAAATCATTATATGGTTTGAAACAGGCTCCAAAACAGTGGCATGAGAAGTTTGACACTCTCGTTCTCTCACATGGCTTTAAGGTGAATGAAAGTGACAAGTGTATTTACTGCAAGACAGAGAATAGCACTTGCACTATCATATGTTTGTATGTAGATGACATGTTGATATTTGGTACAAATATTCACGTGGTCAATGAAGCGAAAGCCATGTTAAAAGAGAGCTTTGAGGTGAAAGATCTGGGAGAAGCAAAGTTTATGCTTGGAATCCAGATAACTAGAACAGCAAATGGTTATTCTCTAGATCAATCTAGTTACATAGAGAAGATCTTGAAGAAGTATAACTATTTCGACTGTAAACCTGCGTGTACTCCGTATGATGCTAGTGTAAAGCTATTCAAGAACACTGGAGACAGTGTAAGACAAACAGAATATGCTAGCATCATTGGCAGTCTCCGTTATGCTGTGGATTACACTCGACCAGACATTGCATATGTCGTGGGATTGCTTGGCAGGTTTAACAGCTGTCCTAGTAGAGAGCATTGGAATGCTATAGAGAGGGTCATGAGATACCTCAAGAGAACAGCAAACCTTGGTATACACTATCAAAGGTTTCCCGCTGTACTAGAAGGGTATAGTGATGCGGATTGGAATACCCTATCAGATGACTCCAAGGCAACCAGCGGATATGTTTTTAACATCGCTGGTGGAGCTGTGTCTTGGAAGTCAAAGAAACAAACAATCCTAGCTCAATCAACTATGGAATCAGAGATGATAGCACTAGCAACGGCTAGTGAAGAAGCAAGTTGGTTGAGAGGATTGTTGTCAGAGATTCCCCTATGGGAAAGCCCGGTCCCTCCGGTATTGATACATTGTGATAGTACCGCAGCTATCGCTAAAGTTGAGAACCGGTTCTATAACGGAAAGAAACGACAGATTCGTCGTAAGCACAGTACTGTTAGAGAACTCCTAACGATAGGAGCAGTGAGGGTGGATCATATAAGATCCGAACAGAATCTAGCTGATCCTTTGACGAAAGGATTACCTAGAGAGAAAGTCCAGAATACCGCCAAGGGTATGGGACTTATGCCTACCGAACCATGGACTACAAGTGATGGTAACCCGACCCAATAGACTGGAGATCCCAAGAAAAGGGTTCAATGGGTAATAACAAGTCATGAGTAGTATGCGAAAAACTCATGCATAATGAAGCATGAATCCCAAAGCAATGGAGGTTGAGTTAATAACTCTTAATGAGATCTATACCCTATGTGGGGTGGAGTACTTTACTTTGGGGGTACTCCTGATAGACTCACCTATGTGAATGTGGGAGTGGGGCCGCTCCCTATGGAACTTTGAGAGGCACAAAGTTGTTAGAGCGTTCACTAAACCAGGATAACGTGCAAGGCCATAAACGCACGGGCTAAGAAGAGAACACAACTCAATGAAAAGATCCGGTGTGCTACACTGTCTGAGATAGGGTTCAAGACTACGAGTCCCCTTATGAAATCGGAAGTGTAACCACTACGCTAAGGTTCAAATCTTCGCGATACCTTAGCTTATGCCCGATCTTATGGAACTGTTGATGCTCAGAGATAGTTTCAAAACTATTCAAGTGGGGGATTGTTGGAAATGTGTATGAATAGCTTTGAAAGCTATAGAGTCTCAAGTGGAAAAACTACCACATTGGTAGTTTTACTTGGTGAAATGAGTATAAAGATAGGAGCCTCTCTCCTAAGGGCATGCCCCTTGGGGTGACCCACTTTTGTGGGAGAGGGAGGACCTAACGGACCACCACACACGCGCGCGCCCCGTCCATCCGTCCGACCGACCGGTCGGTCGGTCGGTCGGATGGATCACTTGAGACTATATACATATTTTTTGGAGAAATTCCGAACGAAATTAATTATTTAATAATTAATTATTAATCGGTTACTCTGAGGAATATTCCAAGGGATAATCGATTGAAAAGGAATATTCGAAGGATAATCTCCGCAGGATTTATCCTAACCGACGGTTTTAATTAAGGAAGTAATTATCTTCCTTAATTAATCCGACTTATTCCCCAAGCAAGAGGGTATATTCCTAGGGGTTCGGCTCCTATAAATAGCCGCCTCCCCAGCCCCTCTAAACACACCACAACGAGCATAAACACAATAGAGAGAGTGTTCAGAGAGCTCCGGTTTTCGCACAAAACCGCGAGTACACAGAGGAGCTGTTTTATCCTGGAGACGACCGGTTGATAGTCTGCCGTGCGCATCGAGGGCAGTGCCGCGAACGTCTTAAAGAAAGCGACCTAGTCCGCGACTCAGCTCCAGATTCGGTATCCTCATCTTGTTGTTGTTCCGTTTCTAACATCAACTTCATCGATCATGTCTTGTTCACCATTATCATGATCACTGCAGCAATGACTGATTCCATGGCCAGGAATTTGGTTCAGATCATCATCGTCTTTCTCTGTCATCTCTCCTCCTGTAGACCGTATAAGAATACTACATCATTACATTTTCTGAATGTCAGGAGAGAGAGAGAGAGTTAAAATAAACGGTAATGTATAATTACCTGCTGGTAGTCCTTTGTCCGTTACCGTTCTATACATCTGCAGGCACCAACCAAGGCACAATCAGAACAAGAAGAGGGTCTCGTGTTGGAATAATGGAATTACTTAAATAGAGGTTAATAAAAAAATTAATTTATATCACCCTAATGGAAAAAAAAAATACCTGTAAGTGGCTCTTGACGTGAGCTAGGGTTAGATCCCTCACGTTCATCAGCTCTAACACCGATTTCGGCGTCGCTCCTATTATATATATATAGGAAATGATTCTTGTATATAAGTGTCCACCAATTTCAAAGAACCCAAAAATAAAATAAATCGATGATGAGGTGGACTTACTTTGATGGCCGCCGAGGAGCTGGACGGCGTGAACGAAGTGAGCGTGGAGGGTGGTGGTCCATCTCATCCTCGGCGCTCTAACGCTCCTCCTTCCACCGCCACCGCCGCTTCTCTTGAAATCCCTGCCGTAGATTTGCGGCTGATAGTGGTGGTAAGAAGCGGAACGAACCCCCATCATATGCATCGAGTGATGGCTTTGTTGGTGATAATAATGATGATGAACATGACCGTCGAGCGTCCCCAATCTGAGGAAGCCGTCGGGAGCCGTGTTCTTGCTGTGGTCGTGGCTGGAATCGCTGCCGCCGGAATCCGTAGTGGTGGAACCGCTACTCCTGCTGCTCTCGCTGTAGGAAAGGTCGGCCACCGCCGCGGCGGTGGAGGGGAGGCTGATGTGGAGGGAGAGATCGGGGAAGTGTGGTGGTGATGAAGGATCCTTTCTACTACTACTATTACTTCTCATCATCATACCCCAAATAAAAAAAAAGGGTTGGTTGCTGTTTTTGAGCTTTTATGATGATGATGATGATATGATGAGTGGCTTATGATTTGGTTGCATGGAGATAAGCACCCGCTTCGAAAGAGATGGACAAACAAACTCACCGTCAAAAGCAACGGAGGAGAATGGCAATGGAGAGAGAGAGAGTTTCTTCTTTTATCTGGTTTATAAAGTGGGTGTTTCGATGGACCACTGGGAGAGAAGAAACGAGGGATGAAGGAAGGAGAAGGGAATGTATTAAAAAAAAGGTACTGATGAAAAGGAAAGTATTTAAAAAAAAAAAGATGAAAAGGAAAGCTACTTTCAAGGGTCCTGCATAAATACACGGTAAACGACCTTCTCACTGTGTCAAGACTCAAGAGAGTAACTTTTTACCATCCACGGAGAAATTTTACAGTGCTATATAGTTTTGGTGCTATAGGTTTTGACTTTTATGGTACAATTTAAAATTGTACATTTACCTTATGGTACAACTTCAGATTGTACCTATACTTTTTGTACAAATTCTTTTATGGTACAACTTGAACTTGTACCTTTATGTGATGGTGCAACTTCTAGTTGTAAAGTTGTACCATAACATAATGGAACAAATTGCTTTATGGTACAACCTAAACTTATACATTTAATATTATGGTACAACTTTGAGTTGTACATTAAAGCACCAATACTATATAGCATAGTAGAAGTGCTCTCCACTCTGGGTGAATTAAGGAGGACTTAAATGGAGAGGATAGTCACAGAACTTATTCACTCTCTCTTTCCACAGAATGAATTTATGAATAATAGAGAGAGGTAGGGAATATGACTGGGTACGTAGCAGATCAGGACAGAGGTGTAAATATATAACGGCGGTGTTTGCAAGGACTCGGAGAAATGGCTGACTGGCTGGATGTGGAGAAATCATTCATTATATCTGAATTTGGAAGGGGAGAGACTAGACAAGGACTTTCATTTTACTGTTCAATGGAATATTTTGAAGGGTATTTATGACTTATAAGATAGGGAGAGGGGGATTGAGTCAATCTTTGTACGTGGACACCGGGCCGAGCCGTTCACGGGCTTGTACGGCACGGTTAAAGTCCGGCACGAGCACGGGCACGAAATATATGGGTCAGCCCTTCACGAGTACGAATTCTTTACGGGTCGTGCCGGGCTTAAACTTAATGGGCACGGCCGCACGTGCACGACTTGGTATGTAGATGGGCCGTGGCGGGCCTAATATTTTCAAAACCTAATTGAGTGTAAGAACGAAAATAGCACAAAAAGAATATTAATTTGATAAAAAAATAAATATAAAAAGTATACTAGGTTCAAATATCGCAAATATAAGTACAAAAATAATTATTTATTGTCGTTAGAAGTGATTATTAAGATATATACGTAATTACTACCATAACAAAACACGGACGAAGAATTTAACAAAGTAACTCGTTACGCTTCCAATTTTTTTCCCCCTTTGTTGTTATGTTTCTTAAATATTCTCGGTTAAAACTTTTATACTCCGTCCAATTTTTTTCCTTCTTTTTCATCCCCTCTTTTATTTTCTTCCTTTTCATTAAACACAAATATGAGCATGACATGAGCACGAGTAGGCACGACACGATTCAAACCGCACCCGAGCCCGGACCGAACCTAACAAAAGTAACAAATAGGCTTGCACGGCACGACACGAAAACTGAAAGATCGTGCCAAGCACGACACAAAATAAATGGGTCTGAAACGTGTTTGGATCGTACCTTCTCAAGTACGGCCCAGCGCCCATTTACAGTCAGTGTCCTCTTCTCTCTTACTCTTCTGTATTACACTACACAGTCCTCTTCAATGTTCATATAGAACTGTGTGACCACTCCTTGCCCCTCCTAAACTACTAATCCAAATTCAAGAGACAACTTTATGCGGTGTGTTTATCACGGGATGGGATATTATAACAGGAGATTAAACAGTTGTGTTAATTTGTCGAATTACATGTATCCTCCCGTCGCGCGTTCGTTATTTGGAGATCAACAGTAAATAACTTACTAAATACATCATTGGAAGACACCAACCATGGCTAGAAACATTTCGAACCCAAACATTAAATTTTCGGGGATGGCTCAAGCTGAAGAAATGGAGAAAACACATAGATAGTAACATGACGCTGAACTAATCTGCAAATGGATCAACCAAGATATCATATGAATTGTTTCCCTACCTGCATGTTCCTCGATGAAGCTATATCCATGCATGCATAGTTCACAACAAGAATCTTGTATCTTCTCTAAAACACCACCAAACATAATTGAAGCAAGGAATTGTGGGTTAGAAATTATTTAATGAAGAGCCAACCAACCAATCCTAATAACTCGGAAGTCTATTGTTATCACTCTTTCTGCTACTCATTAGTTGCCTAATGTAGGGTGAACGTCATTGTCGGAATTGAGAGCACCTCATTCGAGAGGAAGAAGGTTGTCAAGAGATCTCCACCAATGTTGCATCCAGTCTGCAAATTTGTCTTTAGGACGAGCCTATCATAGTTACATTTGATCATGTCTGGAGTCTGGACTTGATGTAGGCAATTTTTCAATTGTCCTGATCTTGCCTACGACAATACAATGGTTTATGGACTTCAAAAGAGACCGCCAGGTACGTAACTTCAACCTCCAACCAGCAATGGTAATGGACAGGTCCGGGGCGGGTATCTCGATACCCATACCCGCCTCGCGACAGGTCGGGTAATTTATTATTGGTCGCGGGTTGGGGTAAGTCAACCCAATGGGTATGCAATTTATAATTTTATATGGAAAACATTAGAAATATTCGTTATTATCATTTTAAGACCAAGAAAACAACCCATATAACGATAAATGCAGATAAATTATTAGAGTAATTGAGATTTTCACTAATTTACAAATTTATTATAACTAAAATATGATGTAATAAAAGGAAAATTCTAAGTAATTTTACTAAGATTACATATAACGGGTCGAGAATGGGGTGGATCAGGGCAGGTCGGGTCGACAAGAGTACCCATGCCCGCCCCAGTCCAAAATAGTCCAAACAAGTCAGGTAAAACGGGTCAGGTCGAAATTGCCATCCCTATATTTAGCAATAAGGTATTGCATAAGCCAATCATGAAGATTCCATTATGGGGAAAAGCACCAATTCTAAAAAAGAAGATGGTATATGCGTGTATGTTAACCTGGAAAAATCCCTAAAAAAAACCTGGAAAAATCACAGTATCACCGCAACACATGCAGAACTAGGGATGGCAACAAAACCCGAACCCACGGATACCCACCTGACTCAACCCGGTCAACGCGGGTAAAACCCGTGTTGACGGGTTTTGAGCTGGGTTTGGGTTTAAACCGCTACACTATTCGCCGGGTCGGGTTGGGTTTGGGTTTAGGTAAACCCGCCCCATGGGTACCCGTCCACACACATATAATTACTTTCCCGGTATATTTAATATTCTAAATAATATATATTCCTTAAACAATTAATATTCTTTATATTTGTGGAGACATATATAATTTGTGTTTCTAATTGTTTAGAATGAAGTTGATATTATGAAGTGGAGAGTGAAGAAACTTAGTTGACGAGTAACAAGCTTTCAATTAATCTTATTGTTTATAGATATTTATCTTTAACTTTGAACAATTTGTATTGATTATTTGCGGTTTGCTTGTATGCTCTAGATTGTTTTTTTGTATGAATAATTTGTATGAGAAAATTAATGTTAAACTTTTATTTTGAAAGAAACTTGTTATTGTAAATTTTTTACCACAAAAACCCACGGGTACCCATGAACCAGCGAATACCCAGCGGGTTGGGTTGGTTTTGAGTTTTTCAAACCCAGTGGGTTTTACCCCGGATTTTTTTGACGGATAAACCCATGGATTTGGGTTTGACAAAACCCACCCCAACCCGACCCATTGCCATCCCTATGCACAACCAATGAGATTTATTCTATTACCTTCTTCTTAGCAAAAAGTTATAGTCATTCTTTTTAAAAATACATTCTTGAAACCTTCAAAGTTATACATAAAAAATACATTAGTTAAAAATAGCAATCTTATTACATACAACAAGAGTACATGACCTAATCAATTACATAATTGAGGTCATACTTTTAATATACAGAGCAACGTAATTGCTAAATTATTGATATGATGGTGACATTTTTGTAGTCCATTCTTGCCTAGGAGTTTCACTTCATATGTATTTGTTTTTTTAAACAGAAAATACTGATCCTTGTAATTATTGGTAGTATTTTAGCTGTGGAAAATTCATGAAAATAATCTACCATATAAATTTAGTGAGTTATAACTAACTAAAATTTTCCTTTTGTTTTATATAAAAAAAAACAATAGGGCATGCATGTTTTGGTTCGAACTTGTGATTTATCAGAAATTAAATTACTAATAATAATTTATTAATTATCTGGGCATGGTGAGTGAGAATGAACAAACTTCATAGAAGGCTCTCGTTATCAAGTTTCCATGCATGTCATGTGCCTATTCTGTAAATGCTATTAATACCAAATTAGTAGCTAATTAATTATATCAAAGACGGTGGGTCGTCATTTGAGTTAAAAAGAAAGATGTGACAAAAGGTTTATCTAAGAATTTATCCCAGATTGAATCTTGTAATTACTTACTTTTGAACTAATAAGATTTGTAGTGAGTCTAGTGATCGATCAAGAAAAATAATGAGGTGCAAGGAGAGGAAGACTCACAGAGCATTAATGCTATATTTCTCGGCGTCAACGTGGGAGGAATTTCTGCTCACGTGACCTAACGTAGCTTACAGACGGTTTGGTAACAAATGAATCAACAATTCATTTCATTTTGAAATGAATTATCCTGTAGAATTTATTGTCAAATGAAATCTTGTATTTGGTATGTTATATTCAAATCCTTAGAAATAAAATGAATTGGCGTGCAGAATTCATTGTCAAATGAATTTCTGTGTTTGGTATGTCATAT